GGGGGGGGGGGGGCAGAGGAAGAGGAGGGATATTAAGAGAAAGATGGGCTGTGCTCATGTGTGGTGTACAGCCAGTGACAAACAGCACATGACAAGCATGGCGAAGACGGTGGGTCCCCTTTGATTTAAAATAAATATAGGCCTAAATCATTACACGCTAAAAAGGATATCTGCATTTGTGTGTGTGTGTGTGTGTGTGTGTGTGTGTGTGTGTGTGTGTGTGTGTGAGATGTGTTTATGTAAGATTTTTGCTTGTGGGTCNCACGGATCCCCACTCCTCCGCTCTTCTCGGCTGCACGTCTGTGATGTCATAATCACTCACATCAAAGGCTGTGCGCTCAACACGGCGACTGTCAGCTTCCCTGGAGGCGTCATTAAAAACGAACAGAGCAAACTGAGCCAGGCCTGACAGAGACGCATCAAAACTTCCTAACACGCACATACGCACACATGCGCAGGCGGTGAGCGTGCGCAGGGACGTTCCTGTGAACGTTACGCGCAAGCATGGATGCATGTGCATTCAGGTGCATGCACACTTAAGCACATGCTAACTGATACGCATCAGAGAAACACACGTGTGCACACACTCACACACACACAAACACACACACACACACAAATATGTAGTCATTAAATCATGTATACTCTAAAGTAAATGCTCAAATCCATTGTACGCACATGCAAAAACACACACACACACACACACACACACACAGGAATACTGACAATTGAATATATTCCTCTTCTCTGTGACAATGTCACAACTCCCTCGTTCCAGCATGCATGAATAGGAGCTGAGCATTAAAAACGAGACACGCGTTGCTTCCAGCTGCATCGTACATGTGAGTGGTAACATCCACAGCATCTGTCGTGAAGATGTGCTGTCGTGATGTACATTCATGATGCACACTCATGTTGTTGCCAGTCCGGGGCATAATGCAGAGCGTGCACATAAATGTACAAATAGCCTACATCCACCCGCCTACCCGCTTTTCATCCCTCTCTGTCTATCTCTCACACACTTGCCCACACACATGGATGCACGCACGTACACACAGCACACACACACACATACCGAGGCACAAACACACTCATTTACACAAACTGGAGGAAGGACTATAAATAGTATGCCTATGATGCGATGCTGTGTGTGGTTTCTCCCTATGGGTTTGTGTGTGTGACAGTCAAAGTGAAGAGAGCGGGAGGCAGTGAAACGGGGGGTGTAGTTCAGTAGGGGTGCGGGGTGGGGGGGGGGGCGGGGCAGAGGAAGAGGAGGATATTAAGAGAAAGATGGGCTGTGCTCATGTGTGTGTACAGCCAGTGACAAACAGCACATGACAAGCATGGCGAAGACGGTAGGTCCCCTTTGATTTAAAATAAATATAGGCCTAAATCCATTACAACGCTAAAAAGGAATATCTGCATTTGTGTGTGTGTGTGTGTGTGTGTGTGTGTGTGTGTGTGTGTGTGAGATGTGTTTATGTAAGATTTTTGCTTGTGGGTCGACATGGCGTTCCTCGTATAAGACTTACCCCAGGAAGGGTCTTCTGCTCGTGCAACGCATTCTGGGCTTTCAGGGCCGACTCTCTGGCACAGTAGGTGAGGAAGGCACAACCTGAAATACAGCGAGAGAGAGAGAGAGAGAGAGAGAGAGAGAGAGAGAGAGATGATTATGTTACGTGAACTGGGGACGGAGAAGGAAAGACAGTCATGGGAGGGGGTTGCACCAATCATCAGTGAAAAGCCAAAAAAACAAACCACACACACAAACACACACACACACACACACACAAACACACACACACACACACACACACACACACACACACACATACACACACACACACACACACACACACACACACAAACAGAGAAAGAGAGAGAAACATACAGAGTAAGCCTGCAGCCATAGCTCTGAAACTCTGTCTACATGGCCGCACTGGGAATTCGCTCGTGTTTGTGTGTGTGCCTGCGAGTGTTTGTGCACAACGAACAGCATTTCAGCAACTGAACAAACTGAACATTCCTGTGTACACAAACGCAGTCCATACGCATGCAGAAAGAGAAGTGAAAGTGGGACCAAAAATTGGGGCTTTGGAGATTTTTGTGCATTCTGTTGCGGGAGATCCACTCTCAACCCGCAAAAGACATGGAATCTGACGGCGCTCTCTCCCTGGCAGTCTGAAATAGCAGTTATCCATTCGTCCATCGCACTCCTCTGGCTGCTGTGACAGGGATAGACATTTCCCTGACAGCTTCTCTCTCTCTGTCTCTCTCTCTTACCCCTGCCTCCCCTCCCCTCCCCTCCTTCCACCCTTCATTTCTCCGTCTCTCTGCTCCATATGTTCCAAGACTACCCACAATCCTCGGTTTTGTCAGCACCTGGGCTGACATGTGGGGGTGGAAGGAAGATGGAGACGCAGGAGGCAAGGCAGTAGAAGAAGGAGCCGCGGGGAACGTGTAAGCTGTTCCCTCGCCACCCCCTGTTGACAGCGAGGCACACGCCACTGTCAGAGAGCTGACAAACTGTCAATCTGCAGATCAAGGCTAATGATTCATGTGCTTGACAGTTTAATAAAACACTTTCAAAGACGATTGCACAATAGGTGGCGGTGACACGGTTCAATTTCAGGCAAATTTTCCTTACGCTAAATATGCAGGTGTTTTGCTTGTTTGCTGCAGACTCGAGGAAACGTTAACTAAATGAAAAAAGTATTCATTTAAATTGAATTCAATTAAATTCAGTGAAAGAAAAAAAAAATCATGCACAAGGCACAATTAGTCTCTGGGTTTGCACAATGATAACTATTACAAGACATTTGAGGCATTAGAAAAAGAGTTCTTTTAGTGAACAGCGAGGAAGATATAAACATCACAGCAGCAAGAAAAAAAACTCCCTCAATACTCTGGCTTTTTTTTTTTTTTCATTTCTTGAATTACAGACATGCAGACACTGACAAACTGTTCCCTGCTGCCATGCAACTAACACAGGCACAAAGAGACAAAAGAAACACAGTTAGTTCTGAGAACATCAAGGACTCAGCATTAGATGATTATCATAGACCCCTCCCCCCGAAAAAAACACAAACCCAGTGCAGTTTATAAAAAGCCCCCCCCCCCCAGTTGTGCTTCACTTTGTTCTTTTTGCATACTGGGGGCTATTTACTGTGGAGGGCAGCACCATGTACTGTATGTAGAAGCAGCATGCCTCCCGTCCTCTCGGCTCTGTGTCTTTAACCCTGGGTCGTCCTGATGGCGGGACGCTGGGGAGCTCCGCCTGTTGGTGTTTTTAATTAACGGGCCTCTCTCTCATTAGGCGAAGTGGGAGCTGGCCGCTGACAGCTTGGCTACCTCCTCATCCTCTCCGGGCCTGTCGTGTTAACGCTACATGCAGGCGCCGTCCCACAGGAAGCACACGCAAGCCTCTGATTCACACGCCTGACACTCACTCACATGTTTGGAGCATAGACACCCACTGCACCCAGTATATTCAGGGCTGGAGGAAGGATTCAGATCCAGCAATAGCACAATGCAAAAATACTCTTAAAGTAAAATGCTCACCATGCAGAAGAAAGTCAATGCTATATTATATTTGCACTGATTACCACTGACGCATCAGTGCGTAAGCAGCATGTTAATGTTGTAGGTATTTGAGTAAAGAAACTACAGGTGAATATGGTACAAATTAGATATCACCATGAAACTTCCCCAGCTGATTACTTACATTAAGACAATTATCTTTTGTATTACAAGTTTTCTGAAATGTTTGAGTATGCAAATGAGTCATATCTAATTAAATATGCACTGATTTGCATACATTTCCAGAAAAAAGAAATCTGAACACTGGATAAAGCCAGGTCCAAAATTCTCATTTCATTTTGTTGACATATTAGAGCCAAAGGTTTTTCACAGAGGGGATTTCGGATATCTCTTTTAAACAGAAAATACTGTCTACAGCCACAAAAAAAAAAGAAAAAAAAATCCATTTCACCATGTTTTTAGGAATGAGATATTATGCAAATCAGGATGTGAATGACATATGAACAAACCTCTCTGTAAAAACCTTCAGAATATAAAGTTTGGTGTATGTAGGTATTACTGAAGTGTAGATTTCTGGTTCTGAGTATGAGACAAATCTCACTTTGAGAAAACGACCTTTAAAGATATGTATTATACATTTTCTTTTTTTTACTGAAAACCACTATGTACAGCAAAGTGTCTGCAAAGAGGAAATGACCATGTTTGTGCAGGAGAGAACGAGAGAGAGTGAGCTTTATACCAACGCCTGTGACGACATGGTGCAGACAATGATTGCAGTACTGCATGTTGCACATTGTGTTAGAGTTTAGGAGAAATGTACAGACACAAAAAGACAAAGTGTCGTAAAATAAACAGCTAAATGTGTCTTTTGGACATTTACTTTCCACTAGACTGAAAGAAGATTGAAAACAGAACCATCCCAAAATCTCGAAATTGACCAGTGCATGAAAAAACAGTGTGTTTGCCTGCTGTGTCTTGATGTGGATATTGGAGTTAATCCAGCGGTTCTCAGGTTTCTTTGTCTGATGTAGCCCCACACACACATATGAGCTCAAGTATCCCTCCATCCAACCCTGTTGCAGAGAAAATTAGGTTTATAAACTACAACTTTGCAAAAACAAATACGTTTTGAAAGAAACATAAAGGCTCAGAGATTACCATGGAAAACGTTACTTAACAAATTGCAAAATGCTGACACTGAGTGTACGGAGTAAAATGCTCACTGAATGTAGCAACTAAAGAATGAGTAATCATATATGTTTAGGCCCTGGCAGCAGTTGGTTAATGTTAGCGAGAGTTTGTGCACCTAGATTAATGGAGAAGGGTGATTAGGGTTGGGGGGTTACCTCTAACCATCAACAGTGACTTGAAGCACAAGATAGAGGATGTTTACTGTGTTGACATGTTTCCAAAGCCACGATCTTTTACTGACCTTAACCATCCTTTTCTCCCCGACTAAACTGGTCTCAGGCTACACCCACCATCCACCCCAACCACCTCCTTATGACTGATGTACAGAACAAAAACCTGTCTTCCAACACTTGGAAAAATATTAGCAGGGAACGCAATCCAGGCGGCAATTACATTTTTTTCTTTTTTTTTTTATACAAGTTGCACTGATTGTGGAATAGTTGATGTTAAGGCTGGGTCTATATTTTCTTTTCAGTATATCTTGATTCATATAACTACCTCCTCGGGAGGCAGAAGCTGCATTTTCAACCACATAGCCATTATAAATTTTTTCTTTAGCTATTTTGACTTCACTGCTCATTTCCTAACTAATTTTCATGCACTCTTGAATGCAGCACGTGATGTTAAGCTGTTACAACTGGGGTCATCCCTGCTGACGTACAGGTTTTAAATGCTGACCATGCACTGGAGTTCAGCCTGGGACCTTCGTTACATGTCATTCCCCATCTTTCTCTGCCCTCGTTTCATTTCAGCTCTGTACTGCATACTATCAATTAAAGGCAAAAATGCAAAAAAAAAAAAAAAAAAGTTTATACTTATTGTGAAAATAAGATAAGCCTATTCATTTTTTTCACCCAAAAAAACGCAAAGACAAGTTTATATATTTTTATAAGTTATAATTTCTATTTTCTCTATTTGAGCCACTCCACAATCTTTCAATTTTTTTTTTTTTTTTTTTAAATCTATAGCAATGCATCATGTTTTATAGTTTTATCATATATTTTATGTATAAAATCTTAACTATAGCTGTCACATAAATAGAATGGAGTAAAAAGCAATTATTTGTCACTGAGTAGCATAACACAGATACATAAAGTAAAACGTAAAGTACAAGAGCCTGAAAACTGTGTTTTACTTCAGCGCTTCTATATGTTCCACCGCTTCACAGTGTATTCACACGTGTATGGAGGGGGGGAAGCACGCTTTTACACACAGATGCTACCACGACCTCACACACACAAACACAAACACAAACACAGACACATGCACACACACACACACACACACACACACACACACACACACACACACACATACGCACACTCTCTCACATACACACACACACACATGGAAAGTGACAGTCAACAAACGTTCAATTTATCATCATTGTCACAAGTCAGATGCTGGCAGCAGCTCTAGTATCTGACGAAGACCCATATTGGCCCAGGAGAGAGAGATAAGCTGTTTGTTTCTGCTGTCAATGCTGCCAATTTGGTTTCCCATCACTTCAAATTCAAATCAACAGCAGCGCAGAGGGGATCTGAGAGAATGTGCGTGTGTGCGAGAGAGTGTGTGTTTGAGAGAGAGAGAGAGAGAGAGAGAGAGAGAGAGTGAGAGAGAGTGAGGATGGGAGAGAGAAAGAAGGGCAAGGGAGCAAAAAGGAAGGGGGAGGAGAACAGCAGAGAGGAAAAGCAGAGCAGCGAGGGATGCTCGGTAAGACAGGGAGAGGGAGAGAGAGTAGATAAGATCACCTAGCTTCTGTGAACACCATCCCCCTGTGTCCTACACTCGCTTCTTATCTCAACCGCTGCAGACACCCTAAAGGGACACACACCCACCGAGAGAGAGAGAGAGAGAGGAAGAGAGAGGGAGAGGGAGAGAGAA